AAAATATTCAGTTTCACAGATTAGCTCAATGATGATGGAATTTACATTTTGGAGTGATAACAAACACGACAGCCACCAACCTTTTTCTATTGGTATCACCATGTTCCTCCAATCTAAAAACAAGATTAAAGATTAAAATAAATCAAAGGGACAGTTTAATATTGAAAAAAATAATTAAAAAAAAGCTGTTCAAAATTACTACAAAGTAATTTTCTTTCTGCATCATTAGAACATAGCAGGCCCAAGTTCCTTTACATTTTAGGGCCTTCTGGATCCAATGATTGAGAATATCTATAGACATGTGGTTGTCACTAGAAAGCCTTCAAAGGCTCAAAGGATTATTTATGGGACCTAGTGTTCTTCCTATCAGGTCTAAGAGAAAAGACATTGTCCAAGTCCCCACAATTAAAGAATGCCATCTTAGAAGGTGTATCATTTCTGACATAGTACCTTCCCTCTGGAACATCCTATCTCCTATGATTAAATGAACACCAATATCAGCCTGTCAGAAAGTTCTGAAGACCTCCAAGGCATGGAGGATGGGAAACTAGATGTGAGATACTATTGTTCTTGATGAATATTCATTGCATTTCCTCTTTATAAGTTTTATGTTTCTGCTGTTACTGTTTTTTTTAATAAGTAGTTAGCTGCACCTAAAGTCATATTTGGGGTATGGGTGGCCATATAGATTGATTTAATAATGATTATTTATATTTAGTAATTATCTACTATAATTTGTCAAGGAGGTTGAGAAACTGTCCCAGGAAAGAAGAATGGAGTTTTGATGCCTACGATATTTCTATTTTAAAGTGTCTGCTTAAAAAAAATGTGAAGGAGTTAAAAAATTATAGTTACACATTTTTTTAAATTCACCTAAAGGAGTGACCATTGCTCAATAATAGAATTACATGCTTTGCACATTGGAGACCCTAAATTTAATCCCTTTACATAACAGGACTAAAACTTTTGTTAAGACTCTTATTTGAAACCAGGGAAAATTCTGAATGTCATACCAGATGATTGACGTAATTGGTTTGCTTGCTAGTACACACACTTCATTCCTATCAGCAGATATTTTATTTGTCCCTTTCTGTTTTGTTACACAGACAATTTTACAAAAATATAATTAAGTTGATATTTTTCCTTTCCCATAAAAGACACAACACAGAATCACCTATAATACCTATGTTATACATTAAAGAATGCTTACTGGAATTACTGTATTAATTCCAGTGAGATTAATATTACTGTATCTGTATTATTATTAATTGTATTATCACTGCATTACTATTCTTCTTCTCATCTTTCCTATTACATATCTCTTTTTCTACTAATGACTATAACGTGTTGCTCATATCTTTACAATTTACCATATAGTGTTTTATTTAGTTTCCTAGTATGATTTATGTTGATTGCTTATTTAATATCCTATAAATGATCACTATCACTGTTGTATCTTATGATTTATGAATATAATTTTATGATCTATGATGATTTATCACTTATATATTTTATGTACACTGAAATATTACACACTGAAGACAAATTCCTTGTATGTCCAATCACACTTGGCCAATAAAGAATTCTATTCTATTAATTGATGTGTTTAAGATTGATAACTTCTACATTATATTGTGGCCCAAACGCTTTTCTCAAAAAAACAGAAGAAGAAAAAGAAAATCACTTACTCAGTTCAGTGACCAGCTTTCCTAGAATAGAAGGGGAAAAAACACCTTATTACTATACTGCTGCAGAAAACATAAATGTGTGGCTTCAATTCCTCCCCTCAGGATGCCACTATAGGGCATTGCATGTCAAAACAACTAGACACAAAGATCGTTTTGCCCCTTGCCATCACTCTGCCAAATACCAAATTACCACAGCAGGGTCTTATGCCTAATGATATTTACCCATGTTATCCTTCTCATCTTTCCTATTACCTCTTGGTAGTTTATGACTTATCACTTTGTTTTTTTTGTATCTTATGATTTATGACTGTATTTAAAATTTACATTTTATGATTTATCACTTTGTTGTTTGTATGTACACTGAGAGCTTATTCACTGGAGACACACATTTCCTTATGTGTCCAAACACCCTTGGCCAATAAAGAATATTATGTTGTGTTATTTGCCATCATTATCTGTTATTAAAGCCAACTGGTATTCCCTAAGTCTTTGGAGAAATAATAAGGAACAAAATAACAGCTAAACATAATCAGCATTCAATATACAAGATAATAGAAAACTAATCAAGAGCTAGCAAATATTTTTTCTTTGATGTTATACTGTTGATAGATTGATATTGGGGGGAGGGGGAGCATTATTCCTTTAAACTAGTGGCTTTTAAAATATGATCCAAGAATCCCCTTTGACAATTATTGAAGATATTTTCAGAATTTTAAAACAAAGTCATTCTTCTCATTATTGCCTTTTATTTGTTACATTTTTTTTCATATTCTAAGAAAAGTTTATTACATTTCAGAGATAAAAGTTTAAAATATAAAATTATAACAAAAAAGGAAAATTAGGGGGAATAGAGAATGTTTAATGCAGGTTTATTTCATGAAATACATTTAGGTTAGTATATAATGGGTTTAATGTTCTTTTTACTTAATTCAATAAATAAATATTCTACAAAGGCATCAATTTTATTTTTAAATATGGTAAATATTGATAAAATAACCTATACAAACAAAGATCTTTGGGAGTTTCTCATAATTATTAAAACAAAAAGATTCTTTGATCAAAAAAATCTAAGCAGCACTGTTTCAAACAATGGGTGAATTGGATGACCAATCTACCACTAAATGGCAGCAAAGTGTAAGGCTTTTTTAATAGCTATTGGCTGCCATCTAGTGGTCAACTATTTTATGCAACTGAGATACAGTTGTTGAGGAACTGAAATTCAATTAAAGATTAACTATGAATATCCCTGTGGGAATTGTAAACTATCCTAAAAACATAACTGAGGAAAGAAAGTAAGGAAAAAGAAGCTTTTAATGTGCTGCAGCCAGGGGAGAGGAAATTTTGCAATGGCTCATTTAATATAATTAATATTATGGTTAATATCATTCTGATTTGTATATCTTTTTAAAATTATTTTAATTGTGCCTGCTTTTATGTTTTTTAAAAAAATTAAGTGCTATATGCTACCCATTATGACTTTCATGTAAGATGGGCAACTACACAAAAATGATAAATTCATAAATAAATTTTCCTGCTAGGCTACAAAAGTACAAAAGCTGAGTTTTTTCCCATTATTTTTTCAGTTCTATACATTCAGCCTGGAATGGGCTGATCAGTTTCAAGACTAGAAGGACCATTGAGAAACAATGGCTATGGAAGCCAAAATTCAGTCAACCTTGCAGTGGAGTGTGTGGTGAAGTGAGGGGTGAGGGACAGATTAAAACGTCAGATTAAAAGAACCATGAGACTGCCAGCATAGGACACGTCATTTCAGGTCACCTCCCTGAATATGCCCTATACTGACTGATGTAGCATCTTGAGGCAGAATATTAGGGAAAATACTCCTGGAGCAGAGCATCTTACACACATGCTTAGTGGTAAATGAATGCTAAGGTTGTCAAGCAAAGACACAAGAAGAGTAGTGTGCCATCCTTGCACTGACTGAGGCAAGTAGATTTTATGGATTTAGCCTTGGAAGAAACATTAGCCAGTGTTCCAATCTATTAAGAAACACAGTTTCCAACCAAATGCAATTACTGTAACTGCAGAGCTATCTCGCAATTAATTGTGCATTAACACTACTTTCATGCCAGTTAAAGGGCAGTTTCCTATGTACTCACTGTATTTGTTCAGTAGGTAAAAAGTAAATATAGCAAATCCAACCATAGCCATTAGGGAAAAACACAGAGCTACTATCCAGGATGACATTTTGGGGAACAAGTGATCTGAAAAATGAAAGAAGTAGAGATGAATGTATTTTAAAGCAACCCTGAAACATTGGAAAATGCTCTGATTTTCTCTTTCCTATCCCTTCTGCTATGAATGTTTCAGAAACATATGCCTTCACTGGTACCATATACCCAAAATTCACAGTATGCCCACTGATTCAGATTTAAAAAAACATTTTCCTTTCATCTTCCCAAACTTTTGGTCCTCAAGAGTAAAAAAAAAAGAGAGAGAGAGAATGCAAAGAAATATACTACATGGCCTCATTTGAAATTTTCTTCATGGAAAGATATCTTGCATCACTCTTCATTGACTTTGAGTTTGCCCTAATCAAGACATGGGCACCAGCTGCCGATTCGTCTAATTTTTGAATTCAGAATTTCAAACTCATATTGCTACAAAACCCGGTTTCTAAAATACAGAATGGCTTATTAACAGTGTTTATTGACTCACTTGTTATGTGAACGGTTGACTCCTTTTCCAAATCAAGGAGGCTGTTTCTAATGACACAAGTCAAGTTTGAACTCCCTTTTAGAATGATGTCAGCTTGTACATCGAATGTCCCATCATTTCTTTGTGAATCTTTTTTTGCCAACGAAGATAGAAGATTCCCACTGAGCTCTCTCCACAGGATCTCAGGCTTTGGATACCAGCCACTGGAACGACAAACCACCCGGATCCCTCTGTCCTGATAACCTTCAATGGAAAGGAGAGGAGCAGGCCCTGATGCTAGATATGGGACAAACATGCACATTTTAAGTGTTTTCAAGCTGTTCCAAAGATGGGCATCCTGCAGAACTAGGGAAATCTGCAATCCCCAAACCCCTAAGTTGACATTCTGGCTTTAATTGCTGGAAAAACTGAGGAATGCCTTTCTGCCATTGTGAAATGAAAACATACACAAAATAGAATAGAATAGAATAGAATAGAATAGAATAGAATTCTTTGTTGACCAAGTGTGATTGGACACACAAGGAATTTGTCTCTGGTGCATGTGCTCTCAATGTGCATAAAGAAAAATAAAATACATTCATCAAGAATCATAAGTAAATAATTCATCAAAGAAACATTTCTTGATGTTTAGTAGTTGGTCTCTTGCATATGACAGTGAATCACAGAGAATGATTAAAAAACAGAAAAACTATCAGAGAGCATTTCACCAAGGCTGCCGTTGGCGCCATCTTCCCATAATATAAGCAATAAAATAAGGGTTTATTTTTTTTAAAAGAAAGAAATCTTCAAAAAAGGAAGAAATTTGAGAAAAGTTAAAACCATCATGTGATGAGGTGCTATTCACTTTGAGTTATTGTTTCATTTATTCTGTCTTTCAGCCCCTCCCCAAGTATTAAATCAGGCTCTTGGCCCCCAGAAGTTGTCCTCTTCTACTTTGTTCAAAGAGTTATGGACTCAGTTCAAATAAAAAAACAGAAAGATATCCAACACTGAGGGATAAATCAATATTTGCTTTTTAAAAATACCTTAGGATCAGAAGATTGTCCAGTCTAATCTTCATCCTGTAATTATTTAGATTTTTTTAAATCATCACCCAGTCTCCCTCTTCATCCCCAATCCAGGTTTAAAATCTAAATTTTGCAATAGGAAGTTGGCATACTGCATAGCAGTTGTTTTTGGGTGTCAAATGAGGCATAAAAGGCAAAGCATACATTAGAACTATTATTCCGGAGAACTTTATATGTCTGGATTGTGATGAGTATTGACAACTTCCCAATTTGTCTGCCTCTATGTTTTACCTCTTAAGGCAAAGAAGTAAGTGTGATTTTTCCGCCTCCTCCTTCTGTCAAAACGATCCTACCCTTTCCTTCCAATATAAGATGAATGGTGGATTGAATCAGTTCCAGACACTGCTATCATAAGAACATGAAATGAAACCTTCCAGTTCTGATAAAACTTCCAGCAGTAGCATTTCACATATTTCTAGTAAGCCTACAAATAGAGCATGCAGTCAACAATACAGTATGTCTCAATTCTTCTCAGCATTCACTTCTAGAAGTATATTGCACCTGAATATGGATGCTCCAATCAGGTATCACAGATGTTCAGCCAGTCATCGGTGGGGTTGCATACTTAACAAGGACCAGATTCCAGGCTTTGAATGGTGGTAAATATTTGGGATGTCACTTAATTGAAGAAGCTCATGGAGTGATAAGAGGAGCAGTTATAACCAAAAGTAGCTGAATTTGCTTTATAGCAGGTGGGGGAAACCTCAGTCATGCAGCTGTAAGAGATGACCAGGCTGAGCCCAAGGGAGGAGTCAAATGCATCTTCAGTCTTGAGTCCCTTCCTTTCTACTCACAAGAGATCTAAATCCAACCCACCTTGAATTCCTCTGACTCTTATTACCGCCTAGTCGCTTCAACTGTTAGTAGTTCAGATTGAGGGGTCCTTGGTGCTCTCTGAGCATGCTTGTTTCCCTCCCCCTCAAATGTGTCATTACTCTAATTAGGTAACATCATCAGTACTCTAGCACTGATGATGTTACCAAGTTAGGGTAATGAAACGTCTGCAAGAAAACAAGCAAGCTCAGAGAGCACCACCAGTTCAACCCTGATTCCTTTATTAGTAGTTCAGAATCTTGTAGGGAGCATAAGTTTGCAAGAAACATTTATGTTCATTGAACTGCCTGGATTTCTGATTTCCCATCCCTGGCAGCAGTACAGACCTGCATATGTCCCCCTTAGTCTAAAATTGGTAGCAAAATGGTAATTTTCGGTGGCATGATTTAGCCCCCTCTCCCATTTTCTCTTCAAACATCTGGAAAATTCAATTATTTTGTGCTTGCTTATTTTTTAAAAAATGCTGACATTGAAAAAGAAAAAGCTAAGTGTTTCAACTAACCATTCTTTCTGGTCTTCCTGTCAAGGAAGTGAAAAAAAATAAATGGCCATTGGAAGAAAAATGGTTACCCACCTTGACACTATGGAACGGTAACCCTTATTCCTTCTAAACATCAAGAAAAACAGAATAAGTAGGTTGAAAGATTTTGGGGGGAGAAATCTTAATAGCCCTGGTTTTCTCACAATCTAAGAACATATTGGAAGGTTGATGACTGCAAAGGTTTTAGAGCCAATTTTGATTACACATTTCTATTTTAAAAGATTTGCCCCTTACTTACCAGTCACTTTCATATCTAATGTGGCTTCCTGTTGGAAACTCCCATTCTTAACAGAGCAGTGGTAGTGTCCCTCATCAAATAGGCTAATGTTAAAAATCTTCAGCCCAATCTTTCCATCCCCAATGCCATCTTTTAAAAATTCTGTTCTTCCTTGGTATTCTGGCTGCTGCCGTTCCAGATGATCTTTGCCACTGCGATAAAGGTGTACATATGAAGAATTTGTGGAGCGGAACCAAGTAATCTCCATATTCTGGACATTTGTTCTGGGGGACAGGTGACAGTGTAGCACAATGGTCTCCCTCAGAGAGGCAGTGACTGGGTGATGTGGTCCAAGCAATGTCAGCTGCACTGTGAAATGTACCAAATGCATAAAAATCATAAATGGCCAAGTCAACTGAAGGAGAATACCATATAGGCAACTCATCTAATCATGTCAAATAGCAATTGATATTTGGCTGAACTATTAATCCATCACTTAAATACAGTGGCTTGAGTTTCTGTTGGATAATCATTCAGTTCATATTCAAATCCAGACAGAGAAAAAACAATTGGGCAGAGGTGGGATAGCTCAATAGTATAAGACTTGCTTTACACATATGCACGCACAAAAATGGAATCCTTAACATTTCCAGGTAGGTTGAGAAGACTCTTTTGTGAATGGATGCCAAACACCACAGATCATGATCATTGTAGTATATTTTCACATCCACACAGGACACAAACTGAGTTCCATCAAAACCATTGACTGGGACTCTCATTGAGCATCTAATGCCAGTTCCCAGTTTCCTTCAGAACTGAGCAGGGGCCCAGCGCATTGCACAATTGAGTAATGTAATTTTAAGAACTGAAGAGGTGTGTGAAAGAGATCTAGATGTGATAGAACCCAGTGCCAAGCTAGATGGACAAAGGGTCTGACTATTTTATGTCCGCTTCCTATATTCGTTTCCCAATCTCTCTGTTAGTAGGGCATCCTTGTATTGATCAACCTTCCTTTTTTCATTAGCTTGATATTAAAGCAACCTCCAATATACATGTAATGGGATTCGTTACCCATGATGATTCATTATATTATTTCTACATTTTTATAATGTGATATTTATATATTTCTTAGGTATGGCACCCATCTTTGCCATCTTTCATTCAAGAACTCAAGGAAGCATATCTATGGCATCCTCAGCCCATTTGAGCTGCCATAGCTAAAGGCAGACTGAAATCTGAGTTTCTCCAGTGCCACTCCGACTCTTTAACTGCTACACCACACTGTCTCTTTGTTTTAATGTGAGGTTATAGGGGAATGTTATGTTTAGTGCCTCACCCTCTGTGTGTGTGCGCGTGTGTGTAAAATGCTTCTTAAAATATGATATATAAAAGCAATTACATTTCTTAGAAAATACAATAACACACAAAGATCTTACTTGGATTGCCATTATCAACAGGTAGAATAACTAAGAAAGTGGTGAAAATAAACAGGAAGGAATTCATTTTGGAAACACAGCTGAAGGTTTTCACTTCTCTTGTTTTCTTATTCTGGTCTTCAAGGCACATAGGAACTGGTAGAAGGGAAGCAAAAAAAGAAATATTTTTAGTATTGTTTTTTGTTAGTACGATTCTCTTTTTCTTTAGATGTATCCATAACATTGCATGATTCAAAATGCTGGTAAATGGTAAATGGTTTTACCATAAGGGTGCTGAATAATGTGCCTTTCAATTAGATGTATTAGTGGAAATGTTAAAAACTCAATATGGTTTGGGATCACTAGGATATCTAGGATCAAATTAGTATACAATCTTTTCATCCTCATCATCAGGAAATAGTTTCAATGAAAGAGTGCATGTGGAACTTCCTGTCAAGTAAAAAAAATTAAGAAATGTAAAACTAGATAGCAATGTTAAGCAACTGTTCCTTTTTTTCAGACAGACTATAAGCTTAATTATTTAACATTTTGAGCCGAGGTGGTGCAGTGGTTAAATGCAGCACTAGAGGCGACTTCAGCTGACTGCAGTTCTGCAATTCAGCTGTTCAAATCT